CCCCCCGGGGATGTTTTACCAGCCCCTCAAACTCACCACGGTCAAAGCTGAACTCCCCAGGACCTTCCTAAGTCTGCCAGCACACACACAGACACGGACACAGACACACACACGCACGTCTAATCTACCGCCAAGTCAGGCCACTTCTACCCCGGCCGTGGCCCCGGCCCGGTTCACCGGGCCTATCACAACAGCCTCCTAATCGTCTCCCTTCTCCAGCCATCTGCCACCCAGTCACTGATGGAACTGACCCAAAGCGAGCCATCGAATCAGTCACTCCCCTACGCAAGAAGCATCAGAGGCTCCCTACTGCTGCTGAAACAAAATGAACACTTCGCTGCCTGGCACGTGAAGCCCTTCTCCACCTCCTCCCAATGGCCTTTTCAGCTCCACATTCGATGTTCTGGCCAGACTGAACGCTCAGCTACTGGCTGAGCTCCACATGCCTCCGTCTGACAGCTTCTGCACAAGGACCCTTCCGCCCCCGTGCCCGGCGTCCTCTTCCTTCTCGGCTGCGCCGCTCTGACTCTGCACCCTCGGCCCCGGCCCCAGCCCAGCGCGGCCCACCCCTCCTTCCTTGGTCCCCATCCCACCGCGGCCCCCACCCCGGAGGGCCCGGCCAGCGCTCGCGGGGACTCACCGACTTGATAATCTGGTCACTCTGCTTTATGACCTCCTGGATCTGGCGCAAAGCGTTCACCTTCACGTCCTCCAGCTCCTGCTTCTGCGTCTTGGCATCAGCAATGCAGGTGCGGTACGTGGCCATGGCCTCTTCTGCCTGGGGCAGGGAGATGCATGAGCCACTGCTCGTCGGGGACCCCCACAAATCCCACAGGGGCCTCAGACACTGCCGGCCCCAGGACACCTGGGAGTCCTCAGAGAAGCCCTTTCAGGGTCGACTCACCAGGCACACCCATACACAACTTTTCCCAGGGAGACACTGATTCAGAGTTGGAAGGAACTTTGGATGTCAACCCCCTCATTTTACAGGGGAGGAAACTGAGGCCCAGAGAGGCTGAGTGATTTGCCCAGGTCGCACAGCTAGTGTCTGATATGAGATTCAAACCGAGATCTTCCCGACTTCTGCTATCCACTATGCCATGGTGCCTCTCAAAGACAGAAGCACTGCGGGGATGGCTCAAACCCATGCTGGGAAACCACATGAACACAGATCTGGTCCACCCCTTTAACAACTCAGCCAAATACTATAAAATATGTGTTACTATCATTAAGGGGAAACCCAGAGTCACGCAAGCTTCTGAGGCAGGAATCTGAACTCGGGTCTCACTGACAAGCAACGAGCACAATGCCTGGAACGCCGCAGCTGCTCAATCAGCGCTTGCTGATAGACTGCTGAAGGTCTCATCCTTCCATCCACTGCTCGCAGCTTCGCCCTGCAGCCTCAGCTTCCCCATCTGCACAATGCTCTGACCCCTCCCAGCTCTCCATCTTGGGATCCATGCTCCCTCCCCAGCACTGCTTCCCCCCCAAGTCTTCTCTTCTCCAGGCTCAACCCTCCTGGTCCCTCTGGCTGTCTAGTGGCCTGAAGGGGAAGGGGAGGAGGGAGAGGCATGTGAGCAGAGCAGCCTCCCTTCCCTTGCTCCTGCTCCTCTACTTTCCTGGCCCCAGCCAGCCAGCCCAGCCAGCGTCTCCTCTCCTCACCTTGTTCTTGGCCTCTTCCTCCAGCCGCCTCTTTTTGTCCAGGGCCTTGGTGGCAGCACTACTGGTCCCAGCCCCTGCACTGGCCCCACCGCCCCAAGCCTGCTCCTCCTCGGCCTTTACGGTCAGGTACTGGGCCTTCTCGTAGTCTTCACAGCGCTGCATGTAGCTCTGCTTTGCCTTTCGAAGGTTGGTCTCTGCTTCTTGCTAAGGAGGGAGGGGAGAGAGCTGAAGGGGAGGTGGGGCCCAGGCCAGACTCCGGGCCAGGAGTGAGAGGACCCCCCTCTGCCAGCCTCCCGCTAGCGCCTGCCAAAGGCACAAGAGACACGAGGCTGCCTGGGCCCGAGCAAAAAGTGGGCACTGAAAAAACTCAAGATTCCTAAAATCTCAGAAGAGGAAGAAGCCTGGGAGCTAACATGGGCCACCCTTCACTGAGCTCCTAACCTCAGCGGGAATGCCTCCAGACCACGTCCTGACACAAAACTGGCTTCACCGTGCTGTGTGGGGTGACGGAAGGACCCCAGACCAGCAGCAAGAGCCCTCCCGACTCTGCCGCTGATTCAGTGAGCGGCTTTGAACAAATCCCTCCTCCTCTGTGAACCTCACAATCCTCCTCTGTAGGAGAGGGTCGACTGAGCCCCTGGAAGTCCTGACCTCCTCTGATCTGCCGGCCCCTGGACCCTCCCTGCCCATATGGACGAGGCACGGAGATTCTCCCCTACCAGCTTCCTCTGCGCCCGGTGCCACTGGTCCTTGATCTCCTTCCTTTTCTTCTCGTGCTCTAGACGCCGCAGAGTCAGGGGCTAGGGAGGAAGGAGATACGGGTGCAGATGGTGGGGAACCCCGGCCCGGCCCTAGTATCAGGGAGACACCTCTCTGATGCGGCCTAGGTGGGCCGAGCGACCCCACAGCTAGCCACCACGTGCTAAGGCCTCAGCTAAGCCTGGCCCACACCTCTCCCCAACTCAATCCCACCATTATCGATCCCCAAAGACACCAGGCGCCCCCAATGAGGAGAGCCACAGGAGAGCTCCAAGGAGATGACATCTATGACAGTGAAGATAACTATCTCCCTCCTACACCCACTCCCATGCTGGGCAGAAATCCCAGAGTTCAATTCAAAAGTCAAAGTCATTGACTCCTCTGTCCAAGGCTTCAGGAGATGGGGCTAAGCAGAGGAAGAGGGATGGAGGAGGGGTTGGGGAGGCTCTCACCTGCATTGAAGTCTGGTTCTGCAGGGTAGCCACCACCTGCAGCATCCCATGGCTAAACTCCATGTCCTGTTCTAGGGCCAGGGAATAGATGGACAGGAAAGGCATGTGGGGCTGCAGAAAGAAGGGATCAGGTCGAACCCAGGAGGCCCCTTTCTCATCCTGCCATCCAGCCCATTGCACCCACAGAGCCAGCCCCCCACCTCAGCTCCCTAGCAAAGGCCCCACCCCCACCCTTTGCTCCGGGGGGTCATCAGGAGCATTGGCCCACCTCCTGGGTTATCGTCTGTTTGCAGCTGTTGACGATCTTCTGCAGACCTTTGGCAAACTCCATCTCTGGGCAAGGGGAGAGAAGGAGCAGGGACCTGTCACTACTCAGCACCTGAAGCTAGCCCACAGGAGCCAAGGACAGCACAGCCCCACCCCACAGCCCGAGGGCCATGGGAATCCTCATGCTCTGGATCTCACTTCCAGTCACTGGGAAAGAGCTCTTGGATATCAGTCCACAGGACTTAGGATTCAGAGCTGGGAGGAATTCTAAAGATCACCTGGTCAAAGCCCCTCACTATTCAGGAGGAAACTGAGGCAGGAGAGTTTAGGTGAACTGGTCCAAGGTCACAGAGGCAGTCAAAGCAGCAGAGGTTCCTAACTCCAAATCTAGTGCCCTGTCTACTAGGCCACTGTCAAACGACTGAGGGAAAGAGTAGTGTCCTTCTCAAAGTATGCGCATCCTGAGCCCCTACCCAGAATGAAGGATCTCTGTCCTCCCGCCATTCCATGGGCCTGCCTGACCTCCCTCCTCCACGGCAACTTCCCTAACCACCAATGAGCTCTTCCTTTTCTTAGGCATCTTAGAGCCTGACCCCTCTAATAAGATGCCATCTTATATTACGCCTAATTTCTGAGACTGAGGTCCCTGCCAGTAACACACTCTGGAACCTTGGCCAAGTCACAACCTCCATGGCACTACTCAGTTTTTCAACTATAAAAGAAGGGAAATGGACTACGCAATCTCTAAAGCCCCTCTTGGCCCTGACATCCTGTGCTCTAGTGGGCCCTCCCAGCTCTGACCTCCTGTGTTCTAAGGGCCCTCCCAGCTCTGACACCCTGGGTTCTAGGGGCCCTCCCAGCTCTGACATCCTGGGTTCTAGGGGCCCTCCCAGCTCTGACCTTGGGTTCTTCCTAGCTTTCACATTTCCTTGAGCCTGTCACTCTCTTCTCATTCACTGCCTTCTCCTTCTCTTATCTCCTCCTGGGGAGAGCCCATGCATGCAGGAATCCAGCTATCACTGGGTCTCACCGAGTGTCGTCCGCTTCTCCAGGTAATTGATGAGATCTTTCATATACTTGGCGATGTTCTTGGCGTACTGCAAGGCCACATCCACTCCCCCCTCACAGTGCTGCAGCACCACGTCCACATCGTCCGCCAACAGGCAGCCTACAGCCAGAAGACCAGGTTTGGAGGAAGCCTCCCAGCTCCCAAACAGAGACAGTGTGGGAGCTGGTAGAGAGCTCTGGCAAGGGCTGTGCCTTTCACCAATCAGTGTGCCTGCCCTGCCTTCAAAGGCCACACTTCTCACCCCAGAACGACCTATTCTTGAGGGCAGGGGCTGGTGTTGGTTCCTCCTGAGACCAAGAGCTGAGCATTCTCTCCTCGCTAGAGCCCCACAAGCGCCAAGTCTGGGGCCCTGCCCACACAAGACGCTTGCAGCCCCCAAGGAGTGCCGAACCCTGCGTTACTCCAGCTGGAGGCTTCAAGAGAAGGTGCCACCAAAGGCCACACCTGCCCAATAGACGTCTCCCCCCAGCTCCCCGGAGCTACCAGCCTTCCCTGCCCAACTCCCCCCGGGGCCAAGCCGGCCGCCCAGGACGAGGACCTTCCCCCAAATCAGCACAGATAGCAGGCCAGCTTACCAAAAGGTTCTGTGCCCGGAGACATGCTATCCGTACACTGCCCTGAGAGGCCCCCATAAAGGTTTTCCATGGACTTAGGAGAGAAAGAGAGAACAGGTTAGATAGCCCCATAAGGCAATGCAAAGCAAGCCCAAACCACCCACACTGGAAGGCCTCCCCGTCCAGTACTTTCAAGTATGTGTGTGTGACCTTGACTGGTCTACGATACCTGGGGGAGACAATGAGGTTTAAAGGAAGAGCCTGGGCCTGGAAGGCTGCCTGGCCCTGGGTTCAAGACACGTGACCTTGGGTAAGTCACTTCTCTCTTATTTTCTCAGCTCTGGCATTCTGAGTTCTAAGGTTCCCTTTATAGTGCTGACCATCCATGTTCTAAGGTAAGGTCCCTCCCAACTTTTAACACCCTATGTTCCAACGCTCCTCCCAGCTCTGACATTTTCTCCTCTAAAGGTCTTAGCTTTGACATTCTACATTCTAAGGTATCTTCTGGCTGCTCTGTGATGTGGGGTCCCAAGGCCCACCCAACTCGGGCACTATTATTTGTAATGACTGCTTACATATCCTTAATGCTTCACCTCTGCATCACCTTCCTGTGAGGCAGGTATTACGAGTACCGTTATCCCCATTTTATAGATGAGGAATAAGGCTCAAGGTGAAATGACTCGTCTTGGGTCACAATCCTAGTGAGAGGCAACAGCAGGATTTGAACCCAGGCCCCTCCTGACTCCAAGTCCATTATTCTTTGCACTATACCAGGCTGCCTCTGTGCTAAAGGTGACATGCTCTGATCTACACTGTCTTCTAGAGTCAGTATTCGATGTACTAAAGTCCCTCCCACTTATAAAGAGGGAAGTCAGGTTTCCTGCGATTTTCCTACCACTTTTATGAAGCAGTGCCTGGCAGGTGTTAACCCAACTGACAGAGTAGGAAACTGAGGCCTAGAGAGTGGAGGGGGAGACGTTTGCTTAAGGTCACATAGTGGGTGATCCAATGCCAGAGGCTGGCATTGAGGTTTCTGGACCCCCAGGCCAGATTCTTTTTTTTACCATATCTATGATCCAATGTCCCCCAAGATCTAGAAGCCTCTGACAAGAAAGCAAAGGGCAAGGCCCACTTACCTGGTTCTGGTCACCGGGAGGCATAGAAAGGAGGGTACTGATGTCCATCTCACCCATGAGGAACTCAGACACACTGAACAGGGAGAGAGGGCAGAGAGCCTGGTAAGGAGGCCAATAGTACTGAGGATGGCGGCACCACCTCCTGGGGGCCAGTAATAATCTCATAAAATTATACAGTGCTTTGAGGGCCACAACCTTGTTTGATCCCGATAACAGGTAAGATGGGCTGTATGACCCCCATTTTACAGATGAGGAAACAGAGAGCCCAGAGGAAGGAAGGGATCATCTAAGATGTTCAGCTAGAAGGGCCCTCACTGGTCAACCCCCACCCCCTTCATTTTACAAAAAGGGAAACTGAGGCCCAAAGAAGAAAGTGATCTGCTTCCTGTCACCTAGTGAGTGGCAGAGCCAGGACTCACAAAGTCTGTAATCTTTCTAGGTGACCCACGGTCAGAGCGAGGTGTCAGTGACAGAAGTGGGGCCTCTTGACCACCAGCCAGAGGTCTGGAGACTAAGGAGGAAGAGAAGAGAGTTCCCCAGACCCCCTCTTTACCCAGAGAGCCACAGTCACTCACGTGCTGCTGAAGGACACAGCAACTGTCTCCAAGGCCTTCTCCAACTCACGCTTAACAGACTCATTGTTTGACTCATAATGGAACCCTATGGGGTGGGGGTGGGGGGGAAGCAGTTAGCACTTTCTCCCAGGAGCCCCTCAAAGTTGTGGCTTAAAGCTGTTGTCCTAAGACATCCAGGGCTGGAGGCAGCCCCGTCTGACAGACCAGGGGGAAGCCCAGAAAAGCCCCCAGCCCCCAGGACTGGCAGACAAATGTTCCTGGAGAGCTGGAAGTCTCTGGGGGGGCCGCCACCCCCACCCTGACCATGGCCGGTTCACATTGGATCCCAGTGTTCAACCCCCCATGTGACCCAAGGATAACGGAGGACCCCCCCCCCAGCATCCTCCTCCTCAGAGCTCTCCTTCCCTCTGGCCCCCTTGACCAAACCCCAGAAACCATTTTGTGGCTGTTCAGTCGTTTCAATCCAGTTTGACCCTCCGTGACCCCATCTGGGGTCTTCTTGGCAAAGATACTGGAGCAGTTTGCCATTTCCTTCTCCAGCTCATTTCCTCCTCCAGATGAGGAAACTGAGGCAAACAGGGGGAAGTGACTTGCCCAGGGTTACGCAGCTAGTAAGTGTCTGAGGCCACATTTGAACTCAGGAAGACGAGTCTTCCAGACTCGAGGCCCAGCACTCTGTGCACTCTGGCACCACCTAGCTGCCCTGAGCAGAAACCAGAGATATCCAGAGAAGCCAGCATCCCAGCCCTCATCCCCATGGTCTGGTTTCCCCTACAATGGAGGCTCTTCCTATGGGCACAGTTACAGACACACATCCAGGAAGTTGGTCCTGAAAAGGCAGATGCCCTTGGGCAAGGACTGAGGGGAAAAGCTCTCTCCTGGACTTCCAGAAAGCTAACAACTTCCAGAACTCTTGGAGGATCTTCCCAAACCCAATCATCAGCATCAAGGGAATGACCCTGAAGGCTCAGCCTGTGCCCCAGAAGGGAGAGATGTCCCTCCCTCCCCCTCCCCCCTCATGCTCCCCACCCCGCACCGCTGCCCTCGACCAGTCTGCAGAGTCCAGCCTTGGGGGGCGTGAGGGGTGATAACAACGGCTTCTGCTCAGGGACGAGCCCTCAGCTTTGTGGGCATCTGGATACCCACGTACACATCCCAACAGCACCGCCAACTCAGCATGTTCAAAACCAAGCCCATGCGCTCTGCTACACTTGTTTTCTTGCTTTTGACCCTGCTTTCTCTGCATTCTGTGTCCCAAGAGCCTTCAATTGCTTACATTTCTGGCCTCGGCCCCACCATTCATTCATTCGGCAACCCAGAGCTCCCGCACTCACCCCCTTCTCTCAATGAATCTGGCCCAGTTACCAAGGCCTGTTGCTTCCACCTCTGACCCTGCCCCCTCGACCTCCACTTTGGGCTCTTGAAAGGGTCACTCCCGATCACCGACCTTAGCTTTCTGCTTATCTACTGCCTCATTCCCATCTGCCCACAAACAGGCGTGGGTCTCCCAGCCAGCCCTTAAGCAGCCTTCTTCCAACTTTTTGGACCAGCCCCTTCCCCAATAGTACCATGGTGAGACTTTCCCAAAGTTACCTTGACACCTAGAGCTCCTCACTCTGGACTCTTAGCAAATCCTACCACTGTGTGGAAGCAGCTCCCTCCACAGTCACAATGGCCACTTAATGACCAATTCAAGGGTCTGTGTTAGGATGCTTTTCTAATCGTGACACCGAAAAGCATTAACCCATCCTTCTGAATCCCCTCTCTCCCCTTAGCTTTCGAAGGGTCCAGTCTTTCAGAGGGTCCTCAGCCTCTCTCTAACACCTTAGTGCAGGTGTCCCCATGTTCCAGACCCACTTTTCTCCTCTTTCTTTCCGCTACCCCTTGATGATCTTAGCTCCTGCCATGGCATTAACTACCACCTTGACGCAGACGACTCCCCATCCCTGACTGCCCTGTGAAGCTCCAGCTGCCAACCAGACCCCGGAGGGCTTCCTGGCACCTTCAACTCAACAGATCCAAAGCCAGTCCCGTCACCTCTGCCCTTTGTCTGCAGCACTCACTGCCACTCGTCTCTTCTCCCTTCTCCATAACCTAAGGGCTAGCTTCACCCCTTCTCTTCCATCTACCGAGCATGCCTGGTATCTGGCCCTTCCTCTGCATCCCTCACTGCCACCAGCCTAGGCCCTGGCACCACCCACCTCAAGTGTCGCCTCCCAATGGGTCTTCCCGCCCACAAGGAGTCCCGTCGCTCCCCTGCTCAGGATTCAGTCCTTTCCTGTGGCCTCTTGGTTAAAGTTCAGACTCTTTTGCTGGTTATTCAAGGCCTTTCTCAGCCTGGCGCCTCCCTACTTCTCCAGGTCCATCTCTTACTCCTCCTCCCCAACCACTGATCATTATGGCTAACCTCCGTCCTTGCATGTTCAGCCCACCACGCCCTCCGGCCTCTACACTTTGACTCCTCTGTGTCTGTGTTCACAGAATGCCCATCCTCCTTCCTGACGTCCCTACAGAATTCCAATCTGTCTTCAAAAGCTCCCTCTGCTCAAGAACCCTTCTTTCTTGGGGCTCACAGAGAGTGCCAATGTCTCTAATGCACTCATAACATAACACTCTGTATGACAGCTGTCTATGTTGGTTTCTTATTGCCCTACTAGACCTTAAACTCCACGAGGGCAGGTATTGGGATTCAGATTTTTCATCTCTCCCAATGCTGAATGCAACATGCAGACAGTAGGTGTTTAATAAATGTCAGCTGTTATCACCCAGGGTCTAGGGCACTGCCAGAGAAATAGGCTCTGGGTCTTAAGTCACCCAGTCCCAAATTATCCTCTTCCTACTTTAAGCCCACCCTCAGAAAGTGAAGCCTGGCTCAGGTGGGCAGAGGCCAGCCCTAGGGCCTAAAAAGTCACCCAGCAAAGCTCTTCCCCAACACCCCCCTTCACCTCCCAGCTCACCTTTGACCTTAGAGATGAGGGTCCCAGCAGCTGTGAGGGTCTCTAGAGTGTTGAGCAGGGGATACTTGCTGATGACCTGTCGGAGGACCCTCAGGACTTCACCTAGGCACTCATGGGCCAGTGGTCGCCGAGCATCCAGTTGCTCTGAAATCATCCAGAAACATCAGTGATACTGGGGGGCACCCAGAGAAGGTGGAGGTCTGGTGGAGCACGGGGCAGAAGCACCCACATTATGGACAATACTAACACTCATGTCTAGCTCAGATGAAGGGTCACCCCTCGGTTAGGGCCCAGGTCAGGTGAGGTCAATAACATATACACAGGTATACATATACACATGTTTATGTGTGTGTGTGTGTGTGTGTATATATATATATATATATATATATATATTTCGGTCATTTTTAGTCATGTCTGACTCTTTGTGACACTATTTGGGATTTTCTTGGCAAAGATACTGGAATGGTTTCCCATTTCCTTCTCCAGCTCATTTGACAGATGAGGAAACTGAGACAAATAGGGTGAAGTGATTTGCCCAGGGTCACAGGGCCCAGGGTCACTAAGCGTCTGAGGTCAGGTTTGAACTCAAGAAGATGAATCTTCCTGACTCCAGACCTGGCACTCTATTTACTGTGCCACCGAGCAGACAGACAGATAGATGGAAAGAAAACTGGACCTTCACAACATCCCCTAAGTGGTAGGTTCTGCGGATATTATTATTATCCCGAGTTTCCAAACGAGGGGCTGAGGCTCAGACTTTGCCTCTGGTCACAAGCCTCGCCAGCGTTAGAAGCAGGACTGGAGCCCAGGTCTCTGCTGACTTCCAGTCCAATCCTCTTTCCAGTACATTCCAAAGGGCAAGAGAGGGAATGGAGAAAGACATCTGGATACAAAGGCTATGTATGGGTCGTGTCATGTTGCTGGGGACCTTCCTCTGTGGGCAGGCAAAGCCCTTCCCCATCCTCCTCTGGCCTGGTGGAGTGGAAAAGTACAGAACCAAGACGGTACAAAATGGAAAGAAGCGGGAGGCTCCTACATTCATTCTGTCTAGCCAATCAAACCAGCCAAGAATGACAGAAAGAGCCCTGCCGGCCTGGGAGTCAGAAGACCCGGATTCTAATGACAACCTGCATTTTTACAGCAATGCAAAATAAGGGTTGCAAAGCACTCCCTTCATAACAACCCCCGTATTATTTACTCCCTACTTGAAAGATAATGAAACTGAGGCCCCAAGGAGGCAAAGGATTAGGCACAAAGCTAGTAAATTACTAAGACAGGATTTGAACCCAGGTCTAGCCCTCCTGCATTTGCAACACTGCCTCTTGTGTTACTAGTTCTGGCTCCCAATCTGCCAACAACTCCTTGTGTGATCCACAGCAAGTCAGTCCCCCTCTGTGAGTGTCCCTTCCCTTCCCTGCAAAATGAGCCCATTAGGATCAATGACCCCAACAGCGTTTTCCACTCAAATGTCTATGTATGGTCTGAGCCGCGCCCCCGTCCCCACCCCACCAGTCCCCAGCTTGGAAACTTTCTGTTCTAAAGTCAAAGAATCACAGAATCTTAGAGGTGTAAGGGGCCTCAGGGGTCATCTAGTTCAGGCATTCTTCACCTGGAGTCCATGAACTTAGAAAAAACACTGTGATACTTCTATTTCAATAATTATAATTGGTTTCCTTTGTAATCCTATGTGTTTGATTTTCTGCATTTAACAACATAATTCTGAGAAGGGGTCCATGGGCTTTATCAGACTCAATGTCAAAGGGGTCTAGGTCACAAAAAAGGTTAAGAATTCCTCAAAGAATACAGCCCTTATCTAAACAGTAATGATATCCCCAACAAGCAGTCATTTAACTTCCTCTTGAAGAATTCCAGGGACTGGGAACTCATTCACCTTTTGGACAGCTCTAATTCTTAAAACGAATGTCCCTTCATTTAAGTCAAAAATTTTCCTCTAAGCAACTCTCCCCCCTCCCAAACGTTCCCCCTTACCCCAGCCCCACCCCAACTCTTCTGCCTTCTGGGGTCAAACAGAGCAAATCTAATCCCGCTCCCACTGGACAACCCTTCAAATACAGGGTGTTCCAAAAGTCTTAATAAACCTTACATTGCACTAAGATTTTCGGGACACCCCGTATTCGAATTCTCTTCCTCGAAGTGTATCTCTGTCAGAGTTTTTCCAAGAGATCATCTGGAATACAGTTTAAGTACCCCCACCAACCTGGACAAAACGATGCCCAGAACAAAACGAAAACACTCTAGATGTGATCTGACGAGGGCAGGGGGTGTCAGGATTACTCATCATCTGTCTCTATATCAGATTTTTTTCATGTAGCCTAAGACTGAATTAGCTTTTTTGAACACAAACAAGGAGTCACACTGTTGACTCATATTGACCTAGATATATTTTTTAAGCTTTCCCCCCATCTTTTACTTGAGCCACTGAGTTTTTGAATCCATATCCAAAAAGGAGGACTACACATTTAACCATATGAAACCTATGAGGTTCAGCTCACCAATCCTTTTTGGATCTGAGTTGTATTAACTATCCCTCCAAAATCTGTGTCATCTATAAATTAAATAAGCAGGCTACCTAAGCCTTCATTCAAGTCATCAATAACAATGTGCAGTAGAAGAGAGCTCAAGACCTCTGGGGTATACCAGAATTTTCCTTACAAAGTGACATCAACCTATTAAGGACTAGTCTTCATATGACCAGTTCCAAACCCACTTGATTATACTATCATTCAGCCCACATCTTTCAAACTCATCCACAAAGATAATGTGAAAGGCTGGCAGACGGCTTGATGAAATCTAAGTATGTCTCTTTGGCAATTCCCCCAGATCACAGAATCACAGTGAGAAGAAAGTCTTAAGAGTCTAACCTACCCCAACCTGACCAGAAATCCCTTCTACGATTTCTCCAACACATGCTCACCCCTCCTTGACTGGAAGACATCCAGGGAGGGGGAATGGCGCCTTCTGAGGACAGCCAATTCTGATCTGGATTAGCTCTGACTTTTGGCAAGTTCTTCCTTGAATAGACCCTAAATCTCCCTGTCAGCAACTACTGCCTATGTTCCAGCTGCTGCTCCCATCCAAGTTTGCCCTTTGGGGCCAAGGAGACCAAGTGCAATCCTTTCTAACCGGACATATTTTATTTTCTAACATCCCTTTCACCTCTATTATTCAATGTTCTATGAACATTGTCAGCTCTGACATCCTATGTTCCCTCAAACTCTGACATTTTACAGTTCCAAGTTCTTCCCAATTCTGTCATCCTATGTTCTAAGGTTCCTCCCACCTATGACATTAATTGTCCCGTGTTCTAAGGTCTCTCTAACAATTTAACACCTTATATGTTTTTTTTTTCCAAACACAATTTTATTTTTTCCAATTACACGTAATGATAGTTTTCAACATTCATTTTTATAAGATTTCAAGATCCAAATTTTTCTCCCTCCTTCCCCTCCCTATTCCTTCCCCAAGAGGCAAGCAATGTGATATAGACACTTTACGTTTTAAAGTCTCTCCAACTCTGATATTCAATGTTCTAAGGTCCCTCCTGTGAGGGACTGTCTGATGTTGGCTACTGCCAAGTGGGGGTTGTGGCAAGATGGGGTAGGAACTGGGTTTTAGGAAGTAACCAGAGCTAACGCTCCCGAGGCAGGGGCTGTGCCACATGGCAGTGGGACGGCAGAGAACAAGTTCCTTTGTCTAGCCCCCTCCCTAGGTACAACGCTAACCCCAGACACCTCCTTCCTGTGTCCTTCCTGACTTCCTGGGTCACGTACTTTCCCTTTGTGTAGCACTGACCCCAGATGCCTCCTCCCGGTATCTGGGCCTGACTTCCTAGGTCACGTGCTCTCTCTTTGTCTATGCACTAATCCCAGACGCCTCCTTCCTGTATCTGGTCCTAGCCTCCTGCGTCACTTCCTCTCCCTTGGTGCGCTAAACTCAGACATCCCCTTCAGGTATCTGACCCTACAATCATTGACTAGTAGGCGGGCTGAGGAGGAGGGGCTAAGTAGGTACTTAAGGAATGGGGTTGTGGTCGGAGCACGCGCTCTCTTTGCTCCTGCTCTCTTGCTATGGCCTTCCTGCTTGGCCTTGCTGTGATGGCCTCTGAATAAAGCTCGGGTGTTGGCACCTCCTGGTAGGCTCGTCTCTGTGTGTTTATCCGGGTAGGCTCCGAAGACGGGTAAGTATGACTCTGGCAGCCTGCTCCTTATAGGAGGAGAGTGCACGGGCGCGGCCGGCACACCCTCCCACCTCTAACATTAAGTGTTCTAAGTTCTAAGATCCTTCCAGCTCCAATATTATTTCATGGGCCCTCCAAGCTGACATCTTATGTTTTAAAGTCCCAATTGACATTCTATGCTCTAAGGTCAGCATGGTCAAGTGGGCAGAACTTGGGAATTTAGAAGACCTAGTTTTAAATCCTGCCTCAAGGCATGTACTAGGTGTGTGACAATGGGCAAGTCAGTTAACCTCAGGATGCCTCAGTTTTCTCATCGGTAAAATGAAGGGGTTGGATTTGATGACCAGGTCTAAATTTTTAAGTTTTCCTCCAGTTCTAAATCAGATCCCTCCATCTTATGACCCTATGTCCTTTCTAGCAGCAATCCCAAATTCTAAGGTTTAAAGCTCTCCTTTCTAAGTGCTACATAGGAAAGGCTGAAACCAATTGGAGTCTATAGACATTATGGAATATGATTGTGTCGCAAGGCATGGGAAAAGAGACGTGAAATTGTCCTAGAAGCCTGAATGATATCAACCAGTGACGTGACAACGGTTTACACAAGGATAACGGCATTGTAAAGAAAAACAACTTTGGAAGCCTTAAGAACTCTTCTCTGGGAGGATTAAAAGGAAACATAATTACCCTCCTCCTAACAAAGAGATGTTGGACTCAAGGTGCAGAAAGTCATGTTGTTGGGCAGGTCCATTGTGTGGATTTGACTTGACTAGCTATTTGTTCAAAGAGTTTTCCCTCACTTTTTTTGGTTTTTATTTTTATTTTCTAATGGAGGGAAGGAAGGGATAGAGAAGGGATTAGAAACAGTGACGCCAAAAAGAGGGGAGGTACATTGAAACGTTTTTTTTTTAATGTGTGAAAGAGAAGTTCAGAAGGAAGTTCACACAAGCAAAACAGTTTTGAAAGTAATGCATGGAATTTTTTTTAAAGCCATGCAGTATCGAATGAAGACTCAAGATTTCATATACAACCCTGTTTTTTGGGTGTTGTGCTGCGTAAATGGAAATGCTCCCTTTTGGGGGGGAGCGTGTTCAGAATTTTAAAAATGCTCTAGGGCCCTCTCAGTTCTGCCATCCTACGTTCTCAGGCCTAAGATTCTATATCCTAAGGATTGTCCATCCTATAAAAAGGCCTCACTTGTCTGTTCTAAGGGGTCTTTCGGCTCTGGCATTCTGAGTTCTCTGTTCTAAGGTTCCTGCCGCTGAGCAGGGGACTTTTGGGGTTCCGGGCTCCGGGACTCCCTCCCTGGGGGGGGGGGCGGGCACCCCCGCACACCTGGCCCGGGCCCCAGGTCCGTCACCCGGCCAGGTGGGGGGGGCGGGGCCACCTGGCCCAGGAGGGGACCGGAAGGGCGCCGGCGCGCGGGGAGGGCACTAGCCCCTCGCCCCCCGCCTCCCGCCCCCCAGCCCCCGGCCCTCTCACCTGGCGGACCCACGGGGCAGGCGAGCCGGCCCCCCTCCAGCTGGGGATGCAGGCGGCCGCACACGCACATGACCACAGCCGGCCAAGGGTCCCTCGCCCTCGAACGCAGAAAACGGGGAGGGGGCGCGAGCAGCCTCAGAACTAGCGCGGTCCCGGACGCCCAACCAGCTCACGTGAGGCAGGGGCGGGGCAGCGAACGGCCGCCCCTCCCCACAGGTGACCCAGGTCTGGGGGGCCGGGGGCGCACAGGGATGCACGGGAGGGGGGCAGGGGAGGGTCGGGGAGCAGGGGTGCGCGGGGGCTCTCCTAGCTCATCAGCAGAACTCCCACCTCCGCCCTGATCCCCAGGGCTCGGGGTCCCACCCTCAGCAAATAGGACCAAGTGGACTTACGCCCCCCTCCTCAACCCCAATGGACTCGTCCTCTCGCCCCCTCCCCCCCATCGCCCTCATTCCAACGGCTGCGAGCCCCGGGTTGGGGGCGGGGGAGAAGCCCCTGGCCGGTGGGGGAGGGGAAACAGATGTAGTAACTGGCTCCTTCGCGGGTCTGGGAGAGAACTCTGGGTGGGCTGGTCCGGCCCCTCATTTTACAAATGAAGAAACTAAGGTCCTTTGAGGGGACGTGACTTGCCTGGGGTCACTCAGGTACTCTAACTTCCCCAAAGACTGGACTGGAATCCCTTTGGTAGCAGCCTTAAGTGCCAAAAAAGTGCCAGGCTTGGGAGTCACTTTGCATCAGGGTGACCTTAGATCATTTAACTTCTCTGGACCTCAGTTTCCTCATTTGCATTTAGTATCACAGCTCCAGAGTTGGTAGAATCATCCTCCTCCCCTTAATAATAGCTACAATATTTATGTAGCACTTTGCAAATACTATGTCATTTTATCCTCACAATAACCCTGGGATGGAGGTGCAATAATCATCCCCATTTTACAGATGAGGAAACTGAGGTTGACAGGGTTCAGTAACTTGTCCAGGGTCCCACAGAGGCCAATCTAGCCCAACTACTTTATTACATTTGAGGACTCTGAAAGGAAGGAAAATTAAGTGACTGGCCCAAAATCACACGGGATTGTAAGGATCACAGAAGTGGGACAAGATGGTCTTTCCAGTCCCTTCCGGCTCCAAGTCTCTGATTCCCCCCCCCCACACACTCTACCAATGGACCGCCTTCTCTTTTTAAAGTCAGCCTCTCTTCCCCTCCCCTTTGCCCCAGGTACTGCCTTCCTTCCTGGGGGGATAGTGTGTGAGGTCAGTGGAATTTAGAGCTGAAAGAGGCGTTAAAGAGGGTCTAGTCACCTCCTTCCATTTGTAGATAAGGAAACGGAGCCTCAGGTCACACAAGTAGAAGAAACTCCTTAGAGCCTAGTCGAAGACAGTACCCCTCCACCTAAATTCTTGACTCTTACATCACAGAGATTTGTGGGCTTGTCTTTCTTCCCATTATCTCGGACAAATCCTTGAGAGTAAAATCTGAATGTGTTTATCCTCAGTCCCTAGCCCAGGGCCTTCTCACACACAGTAATAATATTATTATAAATAGTAACTAACATTTATATAGCATTTACTATGGGCTAAGCACTTCACGATTATTCTCTTTTGAGCCTCACAACAATTCTGGGAGGGAGGTAATAATAGCACCTCCATTTTTTACAGAGGGATAAACTGAAGCATCACCCAACTAATGAGTGTCTGAGGCTACATTTGAACTCAGGTCTTCCTGACTCCAAGCCCAGCTCTTTATCCTCTGGGCCACCTAGGCAAAGCTTGTTGAATGGAATTGATCTCATTTGAATGATTAATGCATCATCACGCTGACAGACCTTTGGAAAAGTAGGTAAGCTCGCTAGCCAGAAGGAAGCTGAAATTAGTCCTGAGGAGGTGTTTAAGTTTTGTCTGTTGGTGGTGAATTTTTGGTGTTGTGGTGGTTTTTGTTTGAAAGGTTGAAGGCAGGTGGCTTATCTGTGATCATAAAAATCCTCCCTTTACTTCCGATGCCTCCTCCCTTTTTCTGAGAGTACTGAGATCCCCAAGGCTATCAGAGGAACCCAGGCTCCGAAGCCAGAAGGGCTTTGTTTCCGGACCTGGGGACAGACTGCATATCTGTCTTTCCTTGACCAAAGGAATTGAGCCAAAGGTTTATCTCCAAAAGGGATTGTCACCAAGTAAGGAATTTTTTTCTAGGGAAATGAAGCCGGGAGGGATTCCTCTGTTTATCTCTAATCAATTCCACAAATATTTGCTATGTACAAGGACCTGTTCTAGGCCACAGACTCTGATCTTGTCCTGTAGGCTTCCCCAGGACACCCAAATCCAGCTGCAAGCGGGAAGTACACTGCTCTGCTGAGAAGAGGCCTGGGACAGCGGAAAGTCTCTGGACCAGACTGCAGGCAAGGCAGGGAAAAGGAGACTCCTGCTTCTACGCTTCCTAGCTGGGTGTCCATGGACAAATGCCTTCATTTCTCCAACCCTCACTTTCCTCAAATGTAAAATGGAGATAAAAATTCCTGTCCTTCAGAGCAGAAGTGTTAGGGAGCTCAAGATGGACCTGATTCAAAACACTATGTAAATTCCCCTTATTATAACATTAGAATGAGAAGGAAATATAAAGCATCAGAGAAGAGAACTAGAAAGGCCTTTAGAAGATAGAATTTCAGAGCCAGAAGGGACCTTAGAACACAGAACTTGGAAAGTTTGAGCAGGGAAGGACTTTAGAATATATAACCTAGAATATAATAGCTGGAAAGGAACAGAACTTTGGAACCTAAAATGTCAGAGCTGGAAGAGACTTTATGGTAGAAGCAGATAGAATAATGGGCCTGTAGACCTGAGTTCAAATCCAGCCTCAGACAATTACTAGCTGTGGCAAATCACTTACCTCCTCTCAGCCGCTTTCCTCCTTCGTAAAATGGGGATAATAATAGCAACTACCTCCCAGGATAAAATGAAATAATATTTACAAAGCAGTTAACAAATCTTAAAATAAATGCTAGCTGCCATTATTATTATTATTATTATTATTATTATTACTATTATCATTATTATTGTCATTGGGTTATTGTGAAGACCAAGTCAACCAACATCTGTAAAGTTATCTGTGAACCTTAAAGAGCTATATATAAAATTATTATTAAAATGGCACAGATATAGGGGGCAGCTAGGCAGCACAGCACATAGAGCGCCAGCTCTGGAGTCAAGAGGACCTGACTTCAAGTCTTGCCTCAGACACTTACTAGCTGTGTGATTCTGGGCAAGTCACTTAATCCCAATTGCCTCAAAAGAAAAAAAATTGGCCCAGGACTAGAAGGAACCTTAAATAACAGAATGGAGGCCCTGGGAGGGACGGAAAAGATTATTCAGTTCATTTTTGCAGATGGAGGGCTTGACTCGAGGGCCCTTCCTATCGGCCCACACCTGCCTTAGGAAGCCAGGGAAGGTGCCAGTCGCCCCCTAATCCCCCCAAGCTGCTAATTCATAGAGGCTGAAGGTTATCTGAGCCCGGGCTAAGGAGGGGTGGGGGTTGCTGTGGTGATTCTACAATGACTCAGGGGGAATTCAGGGCCATGGAAACCTAAAGAAGGAAGAGGAATTTTTTTTTTTTTAGGGAAGGGAGGAGGGCAGAGGATTCATGCACGTGAGGAAGGACAGGAAGAAAGTCTATTAGCCAGAGGCAGGAAATAACAGTAGATTCCATTAAGAGGCTACACATCCTCCCCTGGGAATACCCAGGGGAGACACTCGTACTGTGGAAAGAACAAGTGAGCTGGTAAGCCAGGGCTTCAGTTCCCAGTTCTGCCGCTGACTCAGTGGGAGACCTTGAGCAAGTCCCTTTCCCACTCTGGGCGTCAGTTTTCCCACCTTGAAAATGGCCTCTCTCTCCTTCCCCACCCTGGCCAATAACCAACTTTCAGGGTTTATGGGGGACCTCTAGAAGAAAGGGCCATTGAGGCAAAAGGAAAGGGAGATAGGAGAGCTTCCCTAGGAAATTATTTCTTCTGGTAAAGCCCCCCCCGCCCCCGACTCAGGGCTGGGATACGAGCTCCTGGATCCTTCTCCTCCAAGGAAAAGTCCAGATGGGGAGGGGGTGTGTGCCCACAGGGACCCAGGACCTCCTCCCTAGCTCCTTTCTGTCCTTCTCTCAAAGTCCACAAAGTGGTAGAAAGCAATCATTTGAGGCTCAGACTCCTTCTTCTTAGCAGCACTGGGGTAGGTGGGTCCCCAACTCCATGGAGTTTGGGGACCACTTAAGCTCCTCCCTCTCTTCCAGTCAGAATGTTAAACACTGTGATCATAATCAGTTGGAACACTGATCTCTCCAAAACAGAGACTTCATCTTTTCCATCATAAACATCAGACCAAGAGGGCTCTTAGAACATGGAATGTCAGAACTGAAATGGACCTTAAAACATAGAATGTCAGATCTGGGAGGGCCTTTGGAACATGGAATGTCAGGGCTGGGAAGGCCTTTAGAATAGAGGATATCAGCGCTAGGAGGGCCCTTAGAACCCAGAATGTCATTGCTGGGAGGGCCCTTAGAACCCAGGATGTCAGAGCCG